TCCTTACGACCGTCGTATACGTTTTTTGAGAAGTCTAGGCCACGAGACTCTTATAAATGTTGACACTTGAGATTGGGGAATATTTCTTTTAATACAATTACACCATTATATAAATTGGGACATTTATCAGTTTCATCCATTTTACCAAAACGTAATACATGTTCTCATAGCCAATTAGCCAAGTCTCATCGACTGCCGTTTGCGGAAAATCCCAAACAGGCGTCATATATTTTGAATATGATTCATTGTGACCTTTGGGCTCTATCACCAGTTTATTCTGATGATGGATATCATTATTATGTCATAGTGGAAACCTATTGTTCCAATCCAACAATGGAATATCGTATTTTATCGAAGACATGAACAATCAGTTCATAAAATAATCCTAAAAAACTAATATTAAATCTGGAAGCTCTAATACAAATTGTAGTAAACAAAGAGGGTAAAATACACTAAAATGAAAAAGTTATAATGCATCAAACAACCCAGAAATCTGTATCACAAAAGCAATACACTACAAGAATAATGACTATTAGTGACGACAGGCGTCGCCGCTAAAGGTCCCGATAGTCGCCGCTAATACCTTTAGCGGCGACACGTCGCCGCTGTTGGTTCGTCGCTAATACCCAATTTGTCGCTGCTAATGCTTACCGTCGCCGCTAATACCATGTCGCCACTAATACTTTATGTCGCCACTAAAAGTGTCGCCGCTAATTGTAGTTTTCTCTTTTTTTTAGTTTTTTTTTAAACATTCTTTCCATATACAAAACAAACCTTATAAAATTATAAAAATTGTTATAAATTATAAAAACTTTATAAAAACATATAACCAAAAACACATCCATACATACACAATACACATACAAAAACATATACATACATATAGAAAAACACATATACATACATGATACACATACTAATACGCAAATACATACATAATACACATATAAAAACACTCATATATATATATATATATATATATATATATATATATATATACATACTAATACACAAATACATACATATACAAAAGACAAATTCTACATATAAATGAGTTCATAGAAAAGAGAAGGGGGAAGAAGGAGCTAATGGAGGAAGAAGGAGTTGAAAGAGGAAGAAGGAGCTGAAGGGGGTTATATCTGCGAAGGGCATTAGCGGCGACACGTTGAGTATCTGTATTTTATCGAAGACATGAACAATCAGTTTATAAAATAATCCTAAAAAACTAATATTAAATCTGGAAGCTCTAATACAAATTGTAGTAAACAAAGAGGGTAAAATACACTAGGAAAATCTCCAATAAAGTCCTAAAATTTTGGATCGGTTTACGTTTTAGTCCTAAAATAATTTTTGTTTACGAAAAAGTCGTAAAAACCGGCAAAAGTATGCATTTTGACCATTTTTGACCGGTTGGAACCGACAACAAATTAATTTGAGACTATTTCATAAACTGATCTAAAATATTGGGACTATTTTACAAAATGACCCAAAATATTGGGATTTTTCTGCAAAAAAAATATTATGATTTTTCTGCAAATAAAAACCATATTATTATTATTATTATTATTATTATTATTATTATTATTATTATTATTATTATTATTATTATTATTATTATTATTATTATTACTATTATTATTATTATTATTATTGTATTAAAACTATAAACAAGTATACTAATTTTTAAATTCATTATTATTAATATTTTTAATAATACATATAAATACACTTAAATAAAAAATATATTAAAGAAGTTATTTAAAGGTGAAGGTGGTGGTGATTGTAATGCTTTAAGCATTGAAATCATGAATATCTGCTTGTATATCCTCACTTTGTATATGATCATTTCACATTTCTTATTATTGTTTTCCGTTTAAAATATTAATACTTAACAATTTAAAAGAAGTTGCATATTTGTAAAATTGTGTATAAATAGTTTAAGATAAAAGAATTTCTCACTTTGTATATAAAATTTCTTAAGGTAGAATGATTTCTTTTCAAATCCAACAGATCCACAATAAATATTTACATTGGTGGCCCATATCAAAATTTGAAAATATTAATTAAAATATCTTATTTAATAGAAAGTAATATGACTTGTTTTGCTTTATCACACTATATCTGCTATGTTTCCGAAAAAACCATAAGGATAAAGTAATGAAAAAGAGCAACACACATGTTGGCAATTCAAATACTTACACACAAAACATACACGCATATCACATGCTTACTATTTGTAAACAATTTGAAAAATCAGTAGCTTATTTTAAATTTTTAAATGTTAATATTCTGAATTAAAAAATTAATATAACAAATGTGAAATGACCATATACAAAGTTAGAATATCAAACATACATTCATGATTTCAAAGCTTAAAGCATTACCATCCGCTCAACCTTTACCTTTATAAAATGTCTTTAATATTTTTTTAATTTAAATGTATTTATATGTATTATTAACAATATTCATAATAAAAAATTTAAAAAATAGTATACTTATTTATATTTTTAATATAATAATAATTATAATAATAATAAGGTTTTTGTTTGCAGAAAAACCGTAATATTTTTTGTTTTTGCAGAAACGTCCCAACATTTTGGGTCAATTTATGAAATAGTCCCAAATTAATTTGTTACCGGTTCCAACCAATGAAAAACGGTCAAAATGCCAACTTTTGCCGGTTTTTGGGACTTTTTCGTAAACAAAAATTAGTTTATGACTAAAACATAAACCATGCTAAAATTTTAGGATTTTATTGGAGATTTCCCAATACACTAAAATGAAAAAGTTATAATGCATCAAACAACCCAGAAATCTGTATCACAAAAGCAATATATATTAGTTGAAGCAGAATATGACTAATGTATCAAACCAGAATCAACCACAATCAATGAAAAATACTAAGAAAAATAGTAAATCAAAGAGACAACGATTTATGTGGAAAACCCAAATCGGGAAAAAACCACGACGAGAGGAAGTTGATTATCAATCCACTAAAATATCGTAGTATTTACAGAGCTTTATCAAATAGATTACAATGAGCTATAAAGATTTGATGATAAAGGGTTGAAACCCTAGACAATGTCGATCCAAAGGTGGAGAAAAAAACTCTCATAAAAATCTTGTGTTCAATTTTGGCTAAAATGGTAAAGTTTTGTCACTTTGGCAAAATTGGCCCTTCAACAATGAAGGAAATGCACTTCAGGAATGAGTCCTTTTTAGACTGAAACACTCATTTTAGAAATGATGCCTTTGTAGGCCTAATGTAACCAAATTAGACCTACATTGCTAGAAAGACAACTAGAACTAAGCATAACTGGTGAATTCTGGAAGGTATATGTCCACACGATTACAAAATAGTTATCAATACAGTAGTTGAACTTACTTGAATCCAAGCTCTTCTTATAAACTCTTGGTGCCCATAGAGCCTCAGCTACCATTTTATCGTGTGGCAATTTCGGTGGTTATCTTTCCACCAATCCTATCTTCCATAGAGATCTCAGTGTGCATCATATCCTACAATCAGTACTTTTAGCAAATTCAGAGTCGAAAAATCTAGTCACTTATAAATTATTACCTTTTTTATAAATTAGTTTGTAATCCTCGGTTTCTTGAAGATATAATATTTTCTTATCAACTTTCCACAGATCTAGGACAAGTTTAGATTGATGCTTGTCTATCAGACCGATTATGCAAGTGATATCAAGATATGCACAAACTTGAGTTGTTTGGATTCAAGACAAAGGATCGGCTCTTAGTGAAATAAAATCGTTCTGATCCCTGGTCCAGATCACCATGTAGCAAAGATCTGAGGGTGGTCTCAACCGAAGGGGTTTAGACTTTAGATTTATCATACCTTGAGGTGCACTCCATCTGATGTATTGTAGAATTCCTTGATACATATGGACCAAAGATACGTGTCTCCGATGGCATCCACAAATGATACACATCGACCAACAAGATACATGTCTCTGATGGCATCCACAAACGAACCGAGTAACATGCAATAAATAAGTACCAACTCTAAAAGGGATAAACATACAAGATGATTAGGGTTCATGATCCAACTAGAGAACCGTTTCTCTCAAAATCCTAATTGAAGCATGTTAACTGACAAGGGAAATGTATCTTAAAAACCCAGTAGGATTAAGATTTACTAGGCATGGGTTCTCATCCCTAGGCTTAGCCTAAGACATGGGAACGCCACCCTTGGCTTTGCTCACGACGTCCAGTAATTCCCTAGCAAAACCTCTGTTAATTGTTGAATTAGTTTTCCAATTAATTAATCACAACCGGTGTAATATTTATGTGTTTCTTTCAAGCCCGTTATCTCTTTATGGACTATCTGCACTAAATTTCTTGGAGGATGAATTATATCCTCCAAGCATACTTTCTGGAAAATCATAGATCTACCACCAACGGAGTACTTTACAAAAATCATCTGAAGGCCAAATGATTTACACCGTTAGTAAAAGATTGCTAAATTTTAGAAGGGAAATTGAATATAAATCAAAACTGGACTTGTGTAATTAATCATGGGTAATTATCATAGGGAGTGCTCCTTGGGTCAGGTGAAGTGGTAGTGAAGAGGTTGGCCAGCCAATCTGGACAAGGGCTGAAGGAATTTAAAAATGAAGTAGTGTTGATTGGCAAGCTTCAACATCGTAATCTTGTTAGGCTTTTGGGATACAGCTTGAAGGATCATGAAATGATACTACCCTACGAATACATGCCAAATAAAAGCTTGGATCGTTACATATTTGGTTAGCCTCTCTTATTTATCACTTTTTGCAATTACGAAATTTGGATTTGAAATCTAAAATTCTTGTTTTGATGAGAATTTTGGCAGATAGGACGCTTTGTATGACTTTTGACTGGAATTTACGGTTCGATATCATCATGGGAATTGCTCGAGGACTTTTTTTTATCTTCACCAAGATTCACGATTGAGGATTATTCATAGAGATTTGAAAGCAAGTAATGTGTTGTTAGATGAGGATATGGATCCCAAGATTTCAGACTTTGGGTTGGCAAAGATAGTTAAAGACCGAGAAACAGAAGCTAATACCACAAGAGTTGTTGGAACCTAGTAAGTACATGATTTCAATATTTTACACTCGAATCTCTGGAACTTGTTTTTTATAAAATTATGATTTTGGTGTTGATGCAGTGGCTATATGTCTCCAGAATACGTGCTAGACGGGTTGTTCTCAATAAAATCTGATGTTTCTAGCTTTGGAGTAGTTGTACTCGAGATTATACGTGGGAAAAGAAACAATGGTTATTATCATAAACAAGAAGCCTTTAGCCTTATATCCCATGTGAGTTTTTTAACCTGAATCTTGTATTATTCTTTCATATTTTATGCATTTCAGGCTTGGGGTTTGTGGAAAGCAAATACACCGTTAGATTTAGTGGATCCAACATTAGCACGATCATGCAATTTGATTGAAGTGTTGAGATATATGATTGTTGGGCTTTGTGCGTACAAGAAGACCTTGTAGATCGACCAACAATGGTGAATGTGGTTCTGATGTTGGGTATGGATATTGGGAGCCTCCCGGATCCTAAAGAACCGACTTTTGTTGTGTCTAGAAGAAGGATTAGAAGGCTGCCACTATCTGCAGGTAAATCAAAGATCACTCAATTGACTATCATCAGGGAAGAAGGGCGTTAGCAATGTGAGGTCTTTTTTTATTATAAGTAGGTTTATGAATCATCAATATACAGCTTGGATCATATTGGTCTTATAATATCAAATTAATTCTTATTATTGTACAATCTAATAAACATGGGTCATCGGATTGAACTAGGGGTGCAAACGAGCCAAGTTACTCGCGAGCTACTCGAGATCGGATCGTTAAAAGCTCGACTCGAAATCGATTTTAAACAAGCCCGAGCCGAGCTCGAGGTTAATATTAAGCTCGTTTATTAAACGAGCTCAAGCTCAAGCCTATGTCATTAAGCTTGATTAGGCTCACGAGCCTAAACGAGCCTTTATAGAATTTAATTTAATATTATTTAAATATATTAAAATAAAAACATATTAGGGGAATTATGGATTTAGGGTATTAGTAAACGAGCTTCTTAACGAGCTCGAGCCGAGCTTAAGCTTATTTAGACATGTCAAATAAAAAACAAGTCGAGCCCGATCCTGAGCCGAGTTTGTATAATTATTTACGAGCTCGAGCCGAGCTCGGTACAAGGAAGCTCGAATCGAGCCGAGCTCGAGCTTTATATAACTTAAACGAGCCCATGCCGAGCCTGGTCAAGCTCGGGCTCGGTTCGGCTCGTTTACACCCCTAGATTGAACTTTGTTGATCCAATCCAACATATATCTTGGATAAACAACAATATTATAAAGGGAAATATGTAACTCCTAAAATCAAAACAATTGTTGGATTGTCGACATGAGGGATTACATAAGTGCTTATTTATAATAGGTTCACTTCTCATTTGTTATACTCTACTTTGGTGATAAACTTTACAAACCAGCAGACCCCCTTTGGGCCTTACAAGCCCATTGATAACAAGATCTTAAAATGATGCATCTGCTAAATCCAACAAGTCCATGTGGATTTACATGCCAACAAGCTTTACCATTTTCGCCATGAAAATATAGTACAAACATATTTCCAAAGATTCAAAAAACATACAATTTAAGAACATATTTCTAAAATCAATTTTATCTTCAAGTCTATGTTCACACCGGCTTATCTTCTCTGCTAGTTATATATAGAATAAGTAATTTGTATGAAAATATATTAAAGAATAAAAGGGTGCTTAACTGAAAAGACAAGAGAAGTAGACAGATGTCAGAGTAGAAAACTCAGCCTAGGGTGCAAAATGAAAATTTACATCGTGCTTTTAAAATACCCCCTTTATCGAGGCTCTATATTGGTTACTGTAACTTCGTTGTTGGAGAATCTACTTGACGCATGGGCACTTCTATGTAATATAAAAGCAGGCTTTTTAGGCGAAGGAACAGTTGCGGTTTCATTTATTAACATGACAACCACTTCTGACATTGTTGGTCTGTCACTCATTATTTCTTGAATACATAGAAGTCCAACATTTATGCACTTTACTACCTGTTGATCAGCATTGCAACAGGTGCCCCTGATTAAAGGATCAATCAACTCCAAACCTCTGCCTTACATCCACCTTTTCCATGCCTAAAGATGATCCAGATTAAACCCTCAAACTGAAGTTGTTTGCATGTAGTTATCATGTAATAGTTGAAAAAGAACACATCATATATATACTTACCCATTCCAATATTGTAAGAAAGCCTTCGATGTAATTAGAAGTACTCCTTTTACCAGTCACAATCTCCAGTAGTAAGACCCCGAAACTAAATACATCGGATCTCTCAGAAAACCACCCGTGAAGTGCATATTCAGGTGCCATATATCCACTGCAATTAGCAGAGCAAGGACATTAGTTAACACGTCATCGATAATTAATTTATTATCAGCTATATAATTAATTTAAGATGTAATTATGATGCATTGAAATGACTTGTGGACTTACTAGGTACCAACAACTCTGTTGGTTTTGTCTTGAGTTTGGTTCATTCCAAAAATCCTTGCCAATCCAAAATCTGAAATTTTAGGAGTCATCATTTGATCCAGAAGAACATTGCTTGCTTTTAAATCCCTATGGATAACTCTCAGTCTAGAATACTTGTGCAGATAAAGGAGTCCTTGAGCTATCCCTTCAATTATATTGAATCTATTGCTCCAATCAAGATTCAAACTCTCGGATGGATCTAGGGACGATAGATAAAAAAAATATATCATGCAACATGAAACAAAATTAAATTTGAATGCATCCTCAGAACAGATGGGAAGGCAGAAAAGTGTACCAAATAGGAACTTGTCTAGGCTTCGATTAGGCATATACTCATACAGGAGAATCTTTTCATCTTCTTCCACACAACATCCCAATAGCCTAACAAGATTCTTATGCTGAAGTTTTGCAATAATCCTCAGCTCATTCATAAACTCCTCGCGTCCTTGTGATGATCTTGCTGATAACCTTTTAACTGCCACTTCTATGTTTTCAGGCAAAGAACCCTGCATTATTGTACCTTTTCTCATCTTAATTATAGATTAATTTTAAATTATATGCCATAAAGTAATAAATAGTGATGTTCTAAGGACTAGATAGACATCATACCTTGTAAACAGAACCAAAACCACCCTCTCCAAGCTTCTTTTCCACTGAAAATGAACCTGTTGCTTCGACTACACTCCTTAAGCTAAATGATACAAGCTCTACGCTGTTATGTGCATCTTCAATGGATGTGCTCATAGAATCATATCCAAGTAATTCTCTCCTTATTCTCTCAACATAAAGCCACAACTGTCAACTGGTAATCTTGAAAATGAAATGATTTAAGAAATCATGAGTTTATTAAACATCTAACCTTCCTTCATCAGCCTTCTCCTTCTCCTTGTCAAGAAGTAACCAAAAATGCTGATTAGAAGCAGCCCTAAAGAAACAATGGCAACTGCAACTGCAACTTCATTCCTGATTTTCTTTTTGTGGGTGAAAGTATTTTCATGTATCTTGTCTACTGCATGTTGATCATGGAAGAACACAGAAGTTTTGATCAGGACACTGGAATGCAAATGAAGCACTGCTATTCATAAATAAAAGTAGACATATATACCAAGTTGAGAGCTATGAACGCGGACATAGAGATTTTGACCAAAAGTGTTATTACTTGAGATATCCACAAGCTCTCTGAACCAGTTCAGACAAATTATTGTAATTTCATTGGTGACATTCTCATATGCATAAGCTGTACAGGAGCAGTTGCTGAAGCATCCAGATTCACAGTCGTTAAAACTCATTTTCCCTATGCTGACTGCATGATCTGGTAGCTTAACTCTTTCATATATATACTGAAAACATATCTCCCCTATCGCAGCTCAATGTCTTAATTCTCACACATCCACCTGTCCAGTTCCCTGAACTCCATTCATTGTATGATTTCGGCTGGAAACCAGTCATGCACTTGCACACTGGAATTGATTCATTTGTCTGGCTGCAGATTGTAAATGGACCACAATAGCCATAAAAATCACATGTATCTCGAGGTAACTGCCATACAACTTTCCATGTTGTCTGCATCCATACATGTAGCTCAATTTGCCCCTGAGGAACCAAGGTAAACCGTGTGCTGATTGAGTTTATAGAGATACCATACAAAAGGTAATCTTCATCGTCTTTGACAACATAACTTATATATGCGGGAAATCCTCCATCCATAACTCTACTGCCAAACCTTCCATCTCCTATAAATCCACTACCATACGATAAATTAGTTGCGTAGATATTGCTTCTCCAATACGGTTCATCCCCTTTCCAAATGTATACCTGATGCCGATGTGGATCTATCCCTAGTGAGAATATACCTGGTTGAGGATTCTCATCATCTACCCATGATGTTAGACGCATTTCTTGCCCACTTCTGGTGGAGCTAAGTTTCATGTCAGTCAGAAACGTGTCAGTCAGATGATCAAAACTATGCCACAGTTCATCTTTACCATGTCTAAGTACCAGATTCCCATTATCAAGTAATACTGCATCTGTGAAGTTTATGACTGACAGATTTGATGTCCAGATCTGCTCTTTTCCACTTAAAACCACAAGATTCCCATCTTTAGAAAGCCTGAGAGTTGATGGTGAACCTTTTGGAACTGGAGATGCTCTATTCGCAACCCAGATGACTGTTAGTTTCGGGATTGTGTTGTACCATATCCCCAGGTAGCTACCGGTAGAATTACCAGGACTGAAGAACCCTAATGCAAACGTACCTCCGGCTGAGATTATTGTTTGGTTGCCAGTGATGGAGTTGGTTGCGGTTATGGTGTTTTCACTTTTAGAAAGTGGTAAGACAGAAAACGAGAGAATCAACACAAGACATTGTAGCCATTGCCATTCCATTGATGGTAGCTTTCAATTCATGTGGTTTAAGATTCTATTTCTCGGTCTCTTATAATTCGTTACCAATTCCCAAGTGTGAAGAAGAGAGTGAGAGGTGGTGATGCCATACAGCAACGGTGACTTGTTGACAAATATGTGGAAAAAACAAATTCGAATTCTTGGTTCATCGATTAAGGTTGCATACATACACACGGATGATCGGAGTGTTCACAAATTTTTCAGGGATTAAAAAAATTAATTTATATAAATTAATTTATATATTTCTTTTGCACTAAACTATAAATTCTTTCCGGAATAAATTTATTTTAACTTGGTTTGGATGTAGGTCCACTCACCATCACATGGCTTATATTATATGTAGGTCCATTCATAATTTTTTTGTACTACATTTTATTACATTTTTCGTTTATGAAGTAGGGCCAAATTCACACCTTTAGTCCGAGTATTAAAAAAGTAACACTGGTCGTCCCTGCAATTTACTTTTTGTCCTAGATTTGTCCCACCCTCTAACATACATTTGATCTCCCGTTAGACAACCTCCATGTGCCCCACACGTGAGGATAATTTCGTCATTTCATCTTGGATACTCCTCACATCAGCTTAAACGCTAATCAGATGAATAATTACAAATGTAGCCTCATCATCTCTTTCTTCCTTCTTTCATCTTTGTAAACACGGAACTTTTCCCTCAAAGAACAATGGTGATTTGCGGATGTGATGCTAAAGCAGTGATCGTGACCTCTTGAACGAATATGAACCCAGGTACAAGGTTTTCGTTTTGTTCAAAGGATGGAAAGTCATGTGGCTTTGTGGGATGGTATGACGCTCCAATGTGAATGTGTGCAAGAGTTGTAGATGTAATTCATGGATTGTGTAGCTCCATGAATGAGCTCCTTGAAGTTGTTGCAACAGGTAAAAAACGTAAGTGGCTTTTCTTTGGTAGTTTGGTTCGTGGGTTTGTTTTCCCTCTTTGTGTATTTCATTGTAATCTATAGAGGAAAAATGACTTAAAAGCCCAACGAAGTTTCAAAACCGTTCAAAAAACATCAATCATGTTTTATCTGTTCAAGAAATTCCAACAAATTTAACTTTTTGTCTTAAAAAAGCCCGATGAAGTTTCCAAACCGTTCAAAAAACCTCAATCATGTTTTGTCTGTTCAAAAGATTAAGTTCGTTGGGTTTTTTTGAACAGATAAAACATGATTGAGGTTTTTTGAACGATTTGGAAACTTCGTTCGTCTGATAAGTCATTTTCCTAATATGGTAATAAGCCACATCATCTGTTTCTCTCCTTTAACTTCCATAAAATTGAACAAAATTGTAACTTAGTTAGGCTTTTTTACACAAAAGGTTAACTTCATTGGGTTTTCTTAAATAAACAAAATATGATTGGGGTTTTTTGAACGATTTAGAAACTTCGTTGGGTAAGTCATTGTCCCATCTATAGATGTAATAGAAGTTTGTGGGTAAGGGAGGAGGTGTTGGATTTTGGATAGAGAACAAGGGTTTTGGGATGTTCTTAGTTTGGGAAATAGTTGGTAATATGTTGGGATCTTTTGGAACTTGTTCATGGTATATGGGTTAAGTTGTAAGAGCTACAATGTGGAAGTAATGAAAGAAGTCTATTACCATTTGTTTTAATAGTATTTGTTAGTTCTAATTGTCTTTGATTATTTGTGTGTGCTTTTAATGAAGTTAAGTTCATGGTCATGTTCATCGTATTGACTTCAAGTTCAATTTCGTTATCTTTTACAAATGTTCATGTTCATGTTCATATTTACCCTATTGACAGCATATTTACATCGGTTCATGTTGATGTTCGTGTTAGTTATACATCAAAATTTAGACAAACATTGTCCTCGTCACATTGAACGCATATTTATAATGTTTAGAGAGATTGGTGTAAAAATGTTTATTTGATTAAGTACAATGTGAGACCATTTATAGGCATATTACAACAATGTTATTGAACAATTATAGGAACTATAATAGAAAAATAGATTGACAACTAATATACTTTTATACACTTTCCTTCTATTGGGAATGTGTTGAGGCAGTGTCCCTTATACGCCCCCACAAGATGGAGGATCCATTGGAGACACATATGTTGGACCTATTGTGTAGAAACTTGGTTTTCGATAATGGTTTAGTGAGCATATCAGCAAGTTGATCTTGTGAGTTGATGTGAAAGACACGAAGCAGCCCAACGGATACTTGTTCCCGGACAAAGTGATAGTCAAGGGAAACGTAGTTCATGCGTGAGTGGTATACCGGATTGACACATAGATACGTAGCACCCATGTTGTCACAAAATAAATTCGGTGTTTGATCAATAGTAACACCTAGTTCCTTAAGTGAATTTTTAAGCCATATGAGTTCAGCAGAGGCATTTTCCATGGCCTTATACTCGGCTTTAGTAGAAGAGTGAGATACTGACTCTTTCGTGTAGATTTCCATGAGACTATGTGGGTGCCCAGGTATAGGATGTATGCTATAGTGCACCGACCAACATCATTGATCCTACCCAATCAGAACCGAAGAAATCTGGGAGAGTGAGAGACGAGTTATGCGTGATAAAGAGGCCATGATGGATAGTGCCCTTTAAGTAATGTAGGGCATGCTTCAAGGCTTGACATTGAGTTTTTTTAGGATTATGCATGAATTGGGAGAGTTTATTGATGGCAAAGGATATATCTGGAGGAGTGAAGGCGAGGTATTAACCGACACGCTTACGGTAGGGAGTGATGTCGGTCGAGGGAGAGGGGCCATTAGGAGACAAGGGTCCAGTGGCACTAAGAGGGGTTGGGACATCTTTAGCACCATCCATGGTAAATTGATGAAGAATGTTTGCAATGTGACGGTATTGAGATAGGAAGAGGCATGTGGGAGTAGAGATTACTTCAAAACCTAGAAAGTGGTGGAGCATGCCTAAATCCTTGATGGAAAACTTGTATCTTAAGGCATTGATAAAGTGATCAAGGAACCTGGGATCATTTTGTGTGAGGACAATATCATCAACATAAACCATAAAATAGCAAATTGTAGTTTGATGTTGATCTATGAAAAGAGATGCATCGGCTAGAGATTTACGAAATCCAAATTGAAGGAGGAAGGTGGTAACCTCAATGTACCAAGCTCAAGGAGCTTGTTTTAGCCCATATAGATATTTTTTGAGTTTGCAAATGTGGTGTGGAAATTGAGGATTAACATAACCTAGTTGTTAAGTCATGTATACATCCTCATGAAGTGTTCCATGGAGAAAAGCATTATTAACATCGAGTTGGCGTAATGGCCAGTTTTTGGAGAGAGCAATGGAGAGTATGGTGTGAACGGTAACGGGTTTTATGACCGGACTAAATGTGTCAAAGTAATATTTTCCGTATTGTTGGAGGAATCCTTTGGCTACAAGACGAGCTTTGTATTTTTCAATGGAACCATTAGGAGTTCGTTTGATGTGAAACACCCATTTACATCCAATTGGTGTGTGAGCGTTGGGAGGTACAAGATCCTATGTTTGATTTTGGATAAGAGCGTTGAATTCAGAGTCCATAGTATGTTGCCATTTAGGGTCTTTGAAGGGTGGCGGTATTAATAAAGGTTGGATTAAAGTATTTTGTTTTTTGTTTTCTTGTTCTTTGTGGTCGTAGATGGGATTGAGGAGGTGGTGTGGTAGAGGTGGAGATGGATTCGGTTGGGGACAAAGGAATTGGGAGGATGGGGTAGATGGAAGAGTAGGTGAGGAGGGAGTTGTGAGTGGGGAAATGAGGGTTGGAGACGGCTCTGTTGAGGGTTCTGATATTGGAGTAGATGGAGTAGGAGGGAGATTTTGAGGCGTATGTATGGTGGATGTATTGCTTGGAGAGTCATGAGTGGTGGTAGTTAAGCGTGTAGTTTGAACGGTAGATAGAAATGAGTCAGTTGTTGGTAATGTAGAGGAGGAGGTGTCTAGTTTTTTTGTGAATGGAAATTCATGTTCAATGAACTTAACATGCCGAGGATGATAGAGACGATTAGTGATGGGATCATAGCATTTATATGTAGATTTGGATGAGGAGTATCCAAGAAAGATACACTTGGTTGATCGAGGGTGTAGTTTGGATGTGGCATATGGATGCAACCATGGAAAAGACAAACAACCAAATGGTTTTAATTTTTTGTAGGTGGGTGAATTATGATATAACTGTTGATATGTTGATTTAAAGGAAAGGAATTTTGTGGGGAAATGATTAATTAAGTGAACCGCGATTTCAAATGCATGGGACTAAAAGGATAGTGGTATGTTGGCATGGTGTAAAAGGGCTAAACCAGTTTCAACAATATGATGATGGCATCTTTCAGTGACACCATATTGTTTTGGGGTATGTGGAGGATTACTAAGTGTGAGATTCCATTTTGTTTAAGATATGGAATAAGTCTAGTATATTCACTACCATTGTCTGAGAAGAGTGAAACCAGGGGAGTGTTAAAGAATTTTTCTACTAATGTTTTAGGAGACTTCGGATTTGCATTTCATAGGATAAAACCAAGTATATTTGGAATAAAAATCAACAAAGATCACATAATAGGAAAATCGGCGTTTGATTGTTGGACCAGGCCCCAAACATCAGAGTATACAAGTTCCAAATTAGAGTTGACAAAATTGACAAAACAAATAGTTACGGTTGCCACGTGAATTAAAATTAGAGTTGAAATTGGGCCCATTGTTTTGAGTTTGAGCTTGGGGTCTATTATTTCTTTGCCCAGAGTTATTGGGCCATTGATTATTTCGTGGCTCATAAGTGGAGCACCCTCTTGTGGATCAACGAGATGTATTCTATGTGTAATTGACAGTAGCCATCATGGGTGTTGGCGATATGTCTTGTAGAGATCGTTCATAATCAACGACTTTGGCGAAAAGATCTGATAAGGTGAAAGATGTTTCTCTAACTTTTAGGATAACAATTATGTGCCTGTAATCATCCCCAAGTTGGTTTAGTATGTCAACGGTTAGGTCTTCTTAA